TGTGTGTGTGTGTGTGTGTGTGTGTGTGTGTGTGTGTGTGTGTGTGTCAGCTCCCTCTTCATCATGAAGTTTTAAGTCAAATAACACTTATTTGTTTCTCTGTTGTTCTCACGGAGAGTTATCTCATACTAATACCAGACATCTTCATGTTATTAAGACTCTTCTGGCTGTAACTACATGGAAGATTATTCACATTATTGTTTAGCATAACTCACTTTATGTTGTTGTATCACTAAATATTGTAGGTATGACTTTGTTTCATTTAGATACACAAGGAGACATGTTTGTGCTTCAGAGAAAGTAGTATTCATGTGACTTAGAATTCATGGGAGATATCTGATTATACAGTACAAGCTCACCAGCCCTCTTTGGTAGCACGGTGGAGGAATACTGTGTTGTAGTTTCAGGTATATTGTGTATAGATAAACAACATGTTTCCAAGTTTCTTTAACATTCGATTATTTGAATTAGGGGCCTGATAACACTCGTCCACATGCATAATGTAACTCCTATCTGTCCACCATATTGCATTGATGCCTTTTACTCATTCATCTATACAGGACATATATTAGCAAGTAAGTTCATTAGTATTGAGTGATGTATAAATCTCCATAAAGGGTAGGATTTGTCGGTCAAAGTTTGTAAACTGTGTGTGTGTGTGTTTGGATACCGTCTGTGGGTAAGACAGTGGTCTGAGCCTATCGTAGTCCTCCTGTCCTGCTGTATCCCAAAGGCCCAGATTCACTGGTTTCCCATCCACCATCACATTGGCAGAGTAGTTGTCAAAGCTGCAGGAAGGCAGATACTGCTCTTAGTGAAATGCAGGTGAGAGGGAGCACATCAAACCACAACATCTGGGTTCTGTTCCAATAGTTCAAAAAACACATTCTAAATCAGGACGATTGGACAACCTTGCTAGATAGTATTTGGTGCAGTCGCTCCGTACATCTAGTTGAGGATGACACATTTGTAAAGGAAGGTTTGTTTCAAAGGACATTTTTCAGAGCGTTCAGTCACAGATGTTTGCTCAGTTGTCACCATGTGACCTTAGGTCGCGTGGTAAACGTGTCTTGACGTGGTCCATTTTTAGGTCATTGACATCAACTGAGCCATTTGTGTGGCAACTTAGCTGAAGACGGTGAGATAGCCCACTGTGGACGTTTCTAGAAATAGCTACTAAGTCAACCTAGAGTCTGTTTGAACTGTTGTTTCTGTAGTAAAGAATGAAATTTGTAGCTCAATGTTTATAGGTCAAATAAGCAGTTGGGAAGGTCTGTTTTTGACAAACCAAAGTACCGATGCAAAAATATTGCCATTAAATGAGTCCTCGTCATTCCTTTGCAACATTGCCTACTGTGTTACGGTTATTACACCCAGAGATATTTAACTGATAGCTACCTACCGCAGTACAAACACCATGACACACTCATATTATCTCACAGTATTTATCATAGCACTCGACCCTAAATGATGTCATGGTCCTATAACATGTAGGGGTGGGAGAAAATATCAATACACATAAACATCGCGATATTTTGTGATATTGTATTGACTCCCAAAAACACTGTATTGACCTTTAATTGACAGTTTACATGAAAATATTGGTGACAGTCAGCGGCACAGATTACACAACAAGTAGCGCTGTGATGTTGGATGTTGACAGTTTTCCTAAAGATAGATTTTTTTTAAATCTGCATATATTGAACGGTAACCTCTGTATCATGACACATATCGTATCTCCAGACTCTTGCCAACACACGGCCTGAACAACACGAAGCCGCTGCTCACATCAAGTGGGTGAGAGCATGTGCAGTGCGTGGTACTCACACAGTGGGGATGTATTCACCAGGGAAGGCATTGGTGGTGTAGCTAATCAGCAGACAGGTCTTACCCACAGCCCTGAGGAGAGAGGGACAACAGAGGACACATGAGGACAAACCTACAGTATGAAAAGAGTTCCTCAAATTCTGTGTGGACTTGGAGAGTATGCATGACTGTATGTGTGAAAGAGATTCAAAGCAGGCTGCTACTCCACTCTTTTAGTGTGCCACACAGACACTGGCCTACATTCATGTCGCCTGAGGGACATAGTAGCCGCCTATAATAACCCCCCCCCCCCCCCCCCCCACACACACACACACACACACACTCCCCCACATGCACATCCTACCTCTCCTGCCCATAAACAGTACACATATCACCCCCTCCCCTCCTCAACCCTACTGTACTGAACACAAGGCGCAGGATGCTGCACGGATCGGTGGTGGCGTGAAATGGGTATCGACTGTGTGCTCATGCACGAGGTAATTAGCGACTTTTGTGTGCACGTCTCCGCAGACAAAGCAAATGGTGGTGACACACAGCGCCAATATGTGTGCAGGCGCCGTGAGACTGCTTTGAGGTCAGTAAGTCTCTCTGGTTGGGATGGAGGATGAGAAAATAACGAAGAGAGAAGGAGACGGAAGAACTGCAAGACATGTCGTAAAGGGTGCTCTGGTGATTTTAAGAGAGTTGAGAAAACGGGTGCAGCAGAGACCAAGATATCTGAACCTTCAGTCCCCATGTTGGGTCAAGCTACAAAAACATCGGATCCTACACTTCCCACAATTCAACTTGATATTGTGTATCTGCAGAGTGCTGCAGGAGTGACATATTTTTGTAGGCCAACCAGAAAATTAGCATCAGGACTTCGATAATTGGTGATACATGCACGTTTTGTTCGGCAAGAAAATCTTCACACTGAAGGGCAAAAATGCAATCTCACTTCCTGGTTTGAGGACTCCCTCCTGCAGCACTCTGCTCCATCTATCTAAGTCTATCCTTCTCAATATCAACCAGGAAACACAGCTTGAGTCTGATAATGTAACAATGCTGTGGGTTTACGTTGTGGCCATCAGTTTGAAGTATTTCAGCGTTCGATTTTAAATTAAAGAATAATGTTTTGTCCGTCCGTTCCCCACGGTGGTTGGTTGTACGGACTACAATTCCCAAGAACCTCGGTTGCTGTTGCTATGGAGAAGGCGCAAATCAGAGCTGCAAGACAAATTTAAATACTTTGTGGTTGCAGGTGGGAACAAACACCGCCCCATAGCTGCACAACACATACAAAATGAAATTCTCTGAAAAGCATAATTCTGTCATTGGCAGGGAGTCGTGGTTAACTTCTCCACTCGTATTTATGTCCAGAGGCTGGTATCTTTGACTGGTTTGTATCAAAGAACCAGATGTTTTCTAACACAGTTTTTATCTTTTGTATTGATGATTCAGCCGGCAGAGTTCAATATCCATCCAAGACTTTAAGTGCTCCAAGTGTAATCTAACATTGTCTATCAAAGAAAAGAAGAGCGTGACTTCCAGAACCGTGGACACACACAATGACTCCTCCCCTTCACAACACTATCACTCATCAAATATATTTAAAGAAAGAAGTCGACGCAAATTTCGGTTCTGCAAATTGAAACAGAGAAGTTTATGGTGTGAGTTGAAATTGTTGCAAGTTTGAAAATTCACACATATCCAGAGGCTTTATGCATCTAATAAATGAATGTATGGAGACATGTAAGGAGAGAGACTGGAGGAGTCTGAGCAGTTACACAAACAAACACACAGAGCAGTATTATCCACATACATGGTCAGTATCCACTTTGCTAGCAAGCTGCAGCTAGTGTCTGTGCAGCTGGTACTGTATCAGGCGGCAACCTCTGGGTCTGAAAAGTGAAGTACCTTGAACCTGCATTCTCTCTAGTGTCCACCAGGGGGCGACTCCTCTGGTTGTATAGAAGTCTATGAGAAAATGACTCTACTTCTCTCTTGATTTATTACCTCAGTAAACATTGTAAACATGAGTTTATGGTCTCAATCTCTAGTTTCAAGTCTTCTTCAATACAGCATGATGTTCATTTAGTAAATGATGGTCCATTTAGAGTCAAACAGACCATAAAGCAGGGGATGCTTTAGGGCGGGGCCGTGTTTAATCCCTTTTCAGTGTGTTTACCGTTCATGTTAATTGTAACATTTTGGTCGTCTAACAATGTTCTATTCGGCAATTCAGTTGTACTTACCTCCACCCTCTCGTGTCACTACTGGTTGCCAAAAAGCCAAGATGGTTGACGGACAAAAACAAGATGGCGACGGCCAAAATGCCAAACTCGAGGCTTCAAAACGACAGTTCACTAACCAGTGGGTGACGTCGTGGAGACTACGTCCACTTCCTAGTTTATGTACTGTACTTAGGCCTTTTTAATAGCAGATATTTTGACTTGTCATGGAGGGAAAACACAAGTGTTACAAATAACACTAACATGGCTCCTTAAACTATGACTGTGTGACAGTGAGCCAGAAGAGAAATATCAGGAGCCTTAAACTGAAGTAGCTAAATGCAATTCAGCCATCATCATTGCATTATCCACACACGTGCTTTTCCTACAAATATATTGTTAAAAAATGCCTATATTGGCTGTTTGGGGCAAATAAACATAAACTGCCCAACAGTCTAGTGTGCAAATCTGCAGCGTGTACCTTGTGAACACACCTTCACCAAACACAGAGCAGGCACGCTCCACACACGGATAAAAACTGACGACAAAAACATAAATTTGTGAAAATAATGCAGAGCAAAAAGACAGTCAGACCCCCCCTGCCTGGTTAACACCCATGTCTTTCCTAGTTTGTAATGCAGGCTTTTTGCTGTAAATTCTTAGTTTCCAAGCCCAAGGTGATGACATCATCAGGGTTGTTTTTGAAGGCTTTAGGGAGCAGCTGAGTGGTCCTCCCAATGATGAATACACTGAGCTTGAATGGGGGAGATGCTGCTTTAAGTGATTTGTGACGTCTTAGAATTCCAACAACAATCTCTTTCTGCACAGATCATCTGTGATTAACATCAAAATCACAAGGCTGAGAACAGTCCACATTCTGAAAAACGCAGCAGTGGAAACATGTAATTCAAAGTCGATATTATTTAGTTTCAGCATTCTGACTTTAATCATGAAAAAACATGACTCGGGCCTATTCTTAATTTCTCTAAAAAATGACACAAATGGCTCATTTTCCCCGCCTTAATCTACACCCAGCAATGGTATGGAGGTTTTAAAAGAGAACTGAAGAAGAGCCTGCTACAAATGTCGGTGCACATGAAGCTAAATGTGATCTGGGTGCAGTAAGAAAGGCACGGTGTGTGCAGAATGAAAGCATCGGGGCCTGTTTGCCACTGACAGGGCCACAAATTCCTTAGCGTGCATCAGCACTTCAGCCTGCCTCCAGTGGCCTACGAGGCGTGTAGGTGTTCCCGCATCCGCACCTAGCGTCACAATGGACCGAGGCCACGATGCGGGCGAACCGATTGCACTCACAAAGCAGATAACTGCGGATTTCTATCGACCATTGTGGAGCAGACCGCAGAAGACCGGGGCGACCGACGGATCGGTGAGCCCCTCGCCCCTTTACCTACATAGCATCCTCCCATCACCCATCCATCCGTGGACGCTTCGTCGAATCACACACGAGAAAATGTGCTGGTGTTGTGTTCGTGTAAGCGTGCTCTTACCCGTCGCCCACCACCACACATTTGATAGCCTGCATTTCGACAGGAGCTGGAGGCTTTCAGGGAGCCGGCGTTGGTGGTTTAATAGATCCGACAGTCTGCACTGAGGTTTCGGATGAGAGCAGCGGGCCAGTCCGCTCGGCGATGGAGCCGCAGTGAAAGAGGTCGATGACGAGCAGTGCCGAGCAACTCCGGAAAATACCGAGTATCTTTAAAGGCACAGAGCACGTAATAGAGGAATCCTAGCAGAGGAAGAGAGGATTCACGTTTTCTACTTCCGTCTCCGCCGAAAGGTTTACTGAGCACACTGCTGCTTGCCTACAACACTACTAATACTATCCTACAATACTACTACTACTAGCCTACAACACTACTACTACTAGCCTACAACACTACTACTACTATCCTACAATACTACTACT